TTTGCTCTTTCATTCCTGGTTTAAGTAACAGCCCCTGGATGGATTTCACACTACTCATTTTAACGTCCTGTTCCCTCGATCTAGACACACGCGGCTCCTCCGGTTCCCCACAGGACATTCCCACCATACCAAGAGCACAGTCACACTCTCCAGAGAGTGTGGCATGGGGAGAGTCATCCTCCAACATCCTTCTTAGGCCAAGCAACCGGCATGATTCACAACGGCAGGAATAACGCAGCCGTACAAGGTGATGCTGTGCCACATCCCCACAGAGCTCAGCTCCAGCTGGGCAGGTCAGGACCAGGGGACCATGACACACAGGTCCATGGGACACACATTCCTTCAGAAGACATCTGCTCTATATGTCTAAGGCACTGAAGAAAACAGGATCTGCAGATTGGCAGCTCTCGTCCTTTTGCCGTTTGAGCATTCTCCTCTGAATGCTCCATAATCAATTCCAGAGAAGCAATGGGGTTGGCTTGGACAACGAATGAAACCACCAACGGCCTCACCACTACAAGGAATGGGAGCAAAGACACCTACCACCACGTCACAAATTCCACATGAAAAATTTTACACATTTACTTTTTGAATGCGTTTTTCATCAAACTTGTTTTAAAACATCTAGAGATGCTATCATGTAGGCACCAGATTCCAACACGCACCGCTAATTACATTTGCAAGGCAGCTGCCGCAAACGAGGTGGTTCAATATGCATGGTTATTCACCTCATTTAAAGTTTGCCATCTTGTTAACTGAGCTTGTAAAAAAAAATGTATGCTGCACAATTTGTTTAAATTTTCCTTTTTCAAAAATGATACATGTGTGTGCAGAAAGGACATCCTACAAGAGCGGAGTCCCGATTTTCCAATAAACTAACACAACCCAGGAGCACGCTGCTCTTCCTTTCCTGTCGGATGTATATGTGTATTTCTGCTTTGTCCTCTGGAGCAACCATTGAAAACTATATGAACTATGGAAATGTTCTTGGCGGACAGGATGGTAGAAATGAAGACGCAATTCAATGACATTGTTACTAACACACAGAACACAACACACACACTGCAGCTGTATTACAACGAAAGGTCCTGCAGCTTGCCTAAGGGCAAAAAACCAACCAAATTCTGGATTTAGTAGAGAAAAGGTTTATTTTAGGGAATTGTACTAGAGGATAACAAACACAAAACTATAAAAAGATCCTGTGTAAAGTCCTTTAAAGGAAAATTCAGTCCATTTCGGCTATGGCTTTGTTTTGGGTCTTTTCTGAATAAACATTCATTTATCAGAATTTGAGACTTGGCCAGACCATAAAAATGAGTGTCTGCTACTCTGTCGCCCAGAATGATTATTTTTAAACTCTGCTCTTGGACTTCTCAGATTTGCAGTGTGGCCCTGGAGCCCTCGTCGGCAGCGTCTCCGAGGGGCATGAGCTGTAATGACTTAACACAGTGTCGTATGGGAAATGTCACCCTCCAGCCACAGCCTGAGGGACAAGAGTCCCCTTGGATGGTGGGCTGCTGAGATCCCGAGCTCGGTTGCTGTCTCTCAACAGAATCAGAGCAGCGCATCCTGCAACACCTGCAAAAGGATCGCTTCTCCCTGCCCCTTCCAGGTATTGCCCATGAAAAAAAGCTTAAAAGACACAAGTGGCACAAGAGCAGTTGGAGCAGCCGGGATCAGCAGCCCAGGAGAGGTGTCACTGCAGTACAGCGTGATGGGGTTTCACAGCCAGCAGAGCAAATTCAAGGCTTCTACGACTCGGAGCAAGAAGCTCGGTCATCCTTCCCTTCTCGGCCCTTCCACGTGTGTGAGCGGAGTCGGTTTGACAAGAACGGGAGCAGACGTGTTGGCCTCGCACTGTGCCAACACCACGGCAGCAAGAGCCTCCCGGGAGCACGAGGCAGACTGCAAGGAGAAAAGCACGCAAGGGGGGAGCACCCCCTGCTAATTACAATTTAGCCTGACCCCTGCTAGCAGCGCTCACTGCAGTACCCACCAAAGGGTTTAACATCTCGCCAAGGACAAGAGCAATCAAGAGGCCATTCCTATCTCCCCTATCCCCCAAATGCCTCTAAACACACCTGGGCTTCCTTTGAATAACCCACCCAGCTCCTCCCACCCTCAGGTTGGGTACTGAGCTGTCAGCAGGGTAAGGAGGACGGACAGGAGATGGGACAAGTACAGTGTTGTCCCAGTGTATCCTTCTAGGGGAGCATGGATGGAGGGAGAAGCGGCGAGGCAGCAACACGCTGGGCTGATGCTCCCTTGCACCAGGATTTGAGATAGTGCTGTTCATGGGCACACACACATTCGAGGGCATGGGGGTCCCCAGCTAAACCCTGACACTCAGCTCAGCCCATGTTCGAGCTGGCATCCTCATACCTAAACCCTCTCCAGCAACTTGCTGGGTCCTCACCCAGCCCAAGACCCCAGTCTGGGGGAATACTGTGCCTCCTCGCTTTGAGTCAGAGCCGCAAAAGCGCCCAAGTTTTTGTCCTGGGCAACACAACTCTTTTTGTATCAATTACCAAGGTGATGGGTGAACTACGCTGGCCTGAATAGAGCTGGCCTTTCCTCCAGCCCCTCCCCACCACGGGCATCAATAAGGACTTTGAAACACTGGTTTGATCTCACTTTTCTGGGAAACAGGAATTCACAACTTTCTGCTGCGGCCTCACTACAGCCAACACAACTGCACCTTTGTCCGGCAAAGAATAGCCTCTCGCCCATGCGGAGAGGAGCCCGAGCGGCACGGGTCACCCGCCGGTCAGCACAGCACACAGCAGCGGGGGGAAAAGCCATCGTGCTCCTTCAGCCTCCCCGGGGACAACGAGCAGCTGCCCCAGGGGATGGAGAGCACATTTACCCAGGGGATGGAGAGCACATTTACGCTCAGCAAGGAGAAGCCGGAGAGCAAAAGGTTTAACCCGTACGCTTTGTGGGTGATGAGGATTTGCGGCGTGCCAGCAGATACAGTCTAAAGTAAGATGACTCAGCCGCGATTTGCTGCCCCTCCTCTCCCTCTCTTCGCAGGAGGAGGAAGAAAAAAAAAAAAGAAAGAAAAAAAAAAAGAAAGGGAGGTTTTGATTCCATATAATTAACTGGCTTTGTGAATCTGCTGAGTTCCTATCGATTCTCTCAAAGGCGGCCAGCGCTCCCATTCACTCCCGCGCTGCCCCGGGGAGGCTGCTGCCTGCCCCTCCCCGGGCTCTGCCGGCCGCGCTGGCTCCAGCCGCCGGGTTTCGGTCCAAGACAAGTCCAGGGAAAGGTTAGAGGCAGAGGATTCGAGCCGCGGGTTGAGGAGGGAGCGAGCAGCCGAGCAGCACCGCTGGCTGTCATGAGCTGTGTCCGGCCACCTTCTCCCACCACCCTGGGAGCTTCAGTTCCAGTGCCCCCTCCCAGCTGCCCAACATACATCTCTCTCTTCAGAAAACCCCTCTGTGCCAGTTTTCCAGCCTGGCAGGGATTATTTGTGCTATGCCCAACTCCACCCGCCTCACCCCTGTGGGTGGAGGGTGAGGAGGGACAGTCCCCAAAACAGACCACGTCCCAGCCGTGGGGACGCAGATCCGGATGGGTGCGAGGAGCCCCCAGCCCCAGGAAGGGAAGGAGAAGGCCCAGAAGCGAGAGCGGAGGAGCAGCTGCAGGCGACCCTGTCCAAGCCCTGTTACGGGACCTGACGGCGATGCAACGGACCCGCCAAGACAAACAGCAGTGTATGCAGCTCAGCAAACCTCCTCACGTACACGCTCCTCCAGATCGGTCGCATAACCCAGCTACCATGAGTAAGTCTGGGATGGACATGTCAGGAAGAGGCGGGGGGGCACGTCTGGAGCTGGGGTCACACTCAGCCAGGGCTGATAAGGCTGCAGGCAGGGCAGGAGAGGAAGAAGAGGTGATAAGGGGTTGGGCGGCGGCGGTCACTTCACATTCCTGGATGCAAGGAAGGGGTAACAGCCCTCCTTTATCCTCCCCCTCCATCCTGGCTAGAGCTGGCCTGCCCTCTGCGTTCCTCAGACTGTCACCCAGTGTCACAACCCAGCCGGGGTGACCCAGGGAAACCCCTGATCTCCCAAGAGCTCGGGGAGCCTTGGCTCCACTGACACACCACGCTTCAGCCGAAGCCAACACCTCATCCTCACAACCCAAACGCACCGCAAGCAGCGTGTCACTGGGTCACCCCGGTCTACAAGCAAACGGGGCAGGGAGAACATTTGGTCTTTGTTTTACAGTTGTTGCCAGGATTCACCCACAAGGTCTCCACGGATGCCTGGAAGCACACTAAAGTTTAAATAATAATAATATATAAATAAATAAATAAACAAACTCAACCCCTTCAAAAACAGACAAACCCACAACTGTTTGGAAGATGCCCTGGGGTGTGCAGGAACGTTCTCCCTGGGCAGCTGATGCAGAAGGGGTGCAGGGGACACGAGGGAACACCTCCACAGGGCTGATGGCACTGTCCCGGGCACAGAAGGAAGGAGCCGGGGGGGTCCCTTGCCCCGGGACTCTGTAGCCAACAGGTTTCAGAGCCCAGCACTGCAGAGGGGCTTCTCGGGATGCTTCCTCCTCCTCCTCTGCCCCAGGAGCCCCTCCAGCAAAATCCCACCCGCAGCAACTCCCGGGCACCTCCCGGCGGGTCCCGCAGAGGGTCACCCCGGTGCTGTGTGTCTCCCCCGCCCCAACACGGCGATGTCCCTGCCCGCCCCCCCGGGAGCCGAGGACCGGGGTGGGAGAGGCAGCGCGTCCCCCCCGCTGGCAGGGGAGGGGAGGGGGGCACCGGGCGGTCCCCACGGGAGACACCGGGGGTGGGAGCGGCAGACCCGGCAGCGCTGCCCCCCCCACTCCTCCTCCTCCTCCTCCTCTTCCTCCCTCCCGCTCCGCGGTCGCTACCCACCGCCGGGGCAGCCGTGGGGGAGCGGGGCCGGCAGCGCCCGGCCTTTGTTTGCCCAGGGCCGGGCGAGCCGAGCCGTGCCGTGCCGAGCCGTGCCACTCACATAGTGCTTGTTGGGGATGCGCCGCTTCTGCACGTCCAGCACCTTCACCTCCGCGATGCTCCGCCTGGGCATGCCGCTGCCCTCTCTGCCCCCTCGCAGCCCGGCGGGGAGCGGCGGCGGCGGGGCTGGGGGAGGCTCTGCCGCTCGCAGACCGGGACCGGAGCCTGCAGCGCCGCGCCGAGCCCAGCCGAGCCGCCCGCCCGCTGCTGCCGGGGGCGGGAGGCGGCCCCGGCCCGCCCCGGCCTATCCCGGCCGGAGGGGCGGCCCCACCGCCGCCTGCTTAAAGGGGCGACCGGCACCACCCTCCCAAACCCACTCCACGCGTGTCCGCCCCGGGAAGGGCGTGAGGTGCCCGCGGGTCCCCCCAAACCCCGGGGTGCAGAGCGAGAGATACGTCTGTAGGAAGCGCAGGGCTCCTCGGTGGGCGCTGCCGGCCCTTCGCGGGGAGGGGAACGTGGGGGGGCTGCGGGGGTCCATCATCTTGTGGGCCGGTGCGTGGGCTCCATCACCAGGTTTGGATCCTTCTCCCCGCGCTCGTCCCGTAACAACGGCCCCCCAAGACTTGGCCACCGACGACCACGTCCCTACAGGATCCAGGAAACGAGGAGAAAAAGGCAGCTTTGTTGGTTGTTGGCACGCTCAGATGAGCAGCGATGCCTCACCCAGGACAACCCGCACACCCCCGGGAGCTGAGCCACAGCACCCCACCTCTCCTCCCTGGCAGCCCACCCCCTTGCCCCCCGCTCCGTGCCCATCTCTGCCCTTGGCACGGCAGAGGAGACAAGGCAGTGACCAGGCACTTCTCTGCATCAGCACCAGCCCCCGTCTTCCCAGCAGCTCCTCTACACGTGGCATAACCACAGCTCTCTTCCCCGTTGGGCTTTTAATTACATTATAAAGTTACTCAAGGCTTGCACTGGCAGGTCATTAGCTTTCATATGAATTTAATTTAATCATAAACAACTCATCTCACTCCTTAGCAGCTCCTTAAATGTGGCTCCTTTTTAAACTCTTAACTTTGCTACAGCCACCCCAGAGAATGATGGAGGCACAGGCAGATTGCCAGGGCTTTATTGCCCCCCCTTTGCCTTCCAAAAGGGCTCATCTTCGTCCTCCTCCCCCTCAGCTAAGCCTGAGACCATGGTGCTCTCCTGCAAGAAGGATGCTAGGTCATCTGAAGGGGACATCACGCCACTGGTGACCTCCTTGTTGCCTGCTGGCGTGCCACCACAGGCCTGGTTTATTTGTGCACCAGCTGCATGTTGCTCCCCTCCAAACCCCAGCCTTGTTGTCACTCCTCAGTCAGACACATGTTGAAGGTAGGTGGGCAGGAGGCTGTGGTGAGGCCCTGAAGAGCCCGCCCTTCCTTCTCCCACCATGAAAGCCCTGACGTTCATGAGGGGTGCTGGGGCTGGACCTTGAAGTGATAATCAAGAGCCGAAGCCTGAGAAAGCACCAACAGGCAGCAGAACTGCAGCTTTTGATGTTGTGTGGAGTGACCAACTTGAACAGATAAGAGTTTTACTGGTTTTAAAAGCCCTGAAAGATGCATTAATCCTCCAAAGGATGGTCAGGAAAACCTCCAAAGCAGCTGTGTATCATGTTGGTAAGAAAAGAAATGTACATGAGATGTGGAATATTGGAGAAAGAGGAATTAAGAGAGGAGTGAAACAATTATTGATCTTTACATGCTGAAAGGAGAAACCAGGGTAGAGAGCAGCTGAGGGCACCACAACTGAGCAACACGGAGGATGTAACCTGAAGCACTGAGGATTGAAAGGCCGGGCAAGGGGGTCACAGGGGTAACAGAAGCAGGTAATTGGATATGTAAACCCCAAGAAAAAGCACAGAAACATGCTAAACAAAAAGCGATGGATGTTAAATTGTAAGGTGAGGGGAATTAAGCGAGGTAACTGAGTTATGAATGCTACAGGTGCAGCCGTCCCTCCTGTTCCAGGTACTAGTTCTTTCTAGTTAGCAGAGACTGTAGGACTGCCAGGCATCCAGGGAGAGGGTGACGCTGGTCGTGTGTATGCAGAACTGGTTGATGGAGCCTAGTAATTAGGTTTTTCAGGAGTGCACAGGCTGACCCTACATCCCTTGTGCACTGAAAACAACATAGCCAGGTTGATCATCTTGCTGCCCAGCCCATTAGCACGAAGTCCATCGTCCAGACACCTTGGGCTCACTACCCATGAGCCCTAGGATTAGTGTTTGTAGGAAAAATATTTAAAAACCCAGCTGGGAAGAGCAAATTGAGAACATGCAATTCAGAAAGCATTTTGACCTGTAGGTGCAGCAGCTATGAAGACACTAAATTGTGTTTTTTGCCAGATTTTTTTTGTCTCGCTTTAGAAGCAGCGATAGCTGCAGCACTGAGAGATGGTGTAGGACAGTGGGGGTGCAAGGCACGCAGCTGATGAACAGTTCCACCAGCTGCAACACCCCCTGCATGCCAGATTCTGCACAACACATCAGCAGGTCCTAACTCCAGACTGTCTCTTTAGCATGGAGGCATAAGGTGGATTTGGGAGTGAGGGCACAAGTTTTGCCTATTTTTTCAGCCACAGTGCTCGTTCCCTGCCCTCACACTCCACGAGGCACATCCCCAGCCACCGTGGAGCACCATTCTGCCATACACCTTCATCAGTGACCCTGGTGCTGCTCCCCTTTTCCTTTAATGCTGGCTCCACCACCATGGCTGGGAACCCACAAGAGGTAGAGTGAACACCGCACGGTGACACTGTGAAGGACACCTCACTCCTGAGCTTGAAGCAGCCCAGAGGGACACAGAGAGTGCTTTGCTCAGGGAAGCTTTGTGCCCACCTCCCTTTCTCAGAAGTGCAAAAATCCTTTGGGCATTGTTGTGCTGATAAATCCATTTCCCTGTGCCTCAAGGGCCCCACGTGGAGATGTGCAACATGGAAAGCAAAAGGAAAATGTATGAATGAGCTCTCACAGCACCTTGGACACACCTGCCCTGGGACCAGGCCCTGGTCTCCTGCATTCACCCTTCCAGCTCCTTTCTGTGTACTGCCCTGGATGTGGCCCCATGACTGCCACACGCTGCTGTTGGGCTGTTGGGCCATTCCTGTATATCTGGTATAAATCATGTGTATCAGTCAGCCAGCTTGTTACACACAGGGGGTTATTTCATCCATGTCTTCCAGCATAAACCCACTCCAGGTCTACAATCGCTGTCAGGGAGCCAAGCAACCACATAAAATCAATTAGAAGCACTTGAGCATTGGCATCACTTCCCCAGCACCGTAACATCTGCTGAGGTGACCCCAGAGCTCCTGGAACCCCCTGGCGCTGGCTGCAGCCTGACGGCTTATGGGCACCCAGCAACAAGCAGAGGTTGGAGACAATCACAGCTAATGCTGCAAAATGGCTCCTGTGTTTAATTAACGAGTCTGACGAGAGCTGTTGAGATGAGCAGAGCACGGCTGTGCATGCTGATCCGATCACCTCCCAAGGGAGGCACGCTGGGAAGCCGGGGTGGAGATGCACAGTCTGAGTTGGGCTCTACTGCACCTTGGTAATTCATCAAGGAAACTGCCAAGCTTTTGCTAAGGGAGCCCAAATGAGGGTTTTGTGATTGACCTGGGAGTTCCATGCTTGGCCCACACCTCTGGTGAGGTGGCTGCAGGAGCAGCAGAGATCTGGCAGCAGCGTTTCCTACAATGACTTTAGGTGGTACAAAGGTACATGTGCAACTGAGGGGAATTTGGGAATAAACAAGTCATTTCCTGCTGCCCTAACCAACGGCTGAAGTATTATTAAGCCAAACAGAATAACTACACAGGAGAGGTCACCACCTACTCAAGAGTGAGGATCTCCTTGACCCGTGTTCACTCTCCCTTCTCTGTCAGGATCAGCTGAGCCATTTAAAGCAAGAGAGCAAATGATTTCTGAAAAACCAGCCATCAGCTTGGATGCGCAAATGGATTTCTGCTTGGCTGTAAGCAGGTTCCAGCTGTTTGGGCACAGCTGGGCTATTCCTGAGGTCCGTCAGGTGTCAGAGATGTAATGGAATGAGAAAGCAGGGCCCCGGGTTCAGCCCTGACCTGCAGAGAAAACACAGCATGGAGAGTCCACTATTGCTGCTTGATTTAAGAATTAAGAATTAGGAGCGTGCGCCAGGTAGCTGAATGTTCTCAGTCTTCCCCTTTGTACAGAACAAATGCATCCATCTCCCCAAGTTCCCTCATGAAGATTAGTCAAAAATGATGCTCTTTCCACAGCAGAGGGCAAACCTACAGCTGAAGCCATCAGACCAGTGGTTGCCCACTGTATCACCAGGTCTGGATCACACTGATTCTCAGCCACCACCACAGCTTTGACCCCAGTACTGCTGGTTTTAGCTGTATGGGATGGATGTCACCCACCACAGTCAGCCTGGCAGCAGATTGCACCCATCCTGCAAGAAGGTATGGCTGAGGGAAAAGTGGACCCCGGGGAGGGGATGCTCAGCCCTCGAATGGAGAGAGGCTGTCCTGGGAGAGGGAACCCCCTGGGCAGGGGAACACTGGAAACTCCTGAGGACAATGCTGGAGAGGGAGATAAAGCACTGAAGCACCGATGAGAAGCAGCGATAGTGTGCAAGGTGTGCAATAGCCAATGATGGAGCTAGGAAAAAGAGAAAAAGAGCGAGCAAATGTTTGAGTGCAATGAGACAGCTCAGCTCCGAGGCCAGGGCCGCTGCTTCAGTGTGCGTGCCATCTAGTGAACAAGAGAAAGAAGAGCAAACATCACCCCCGCATCCCTGCAAGCCTGGAAACCAGGCCTGGGGGAGTCCCAGGGGATGCTTATGAGGGCAGGTGAGGTGCCAGGGCAGTGTGTCCCTGTCACCCAGCCCCATCCCACCCAGGAGAGGAGCAACAACAAACCATTTCAGGAAGGCAGAGCCCCCAGCCCCTGCAGAGGCTTGGCTTGCTCAAGCCCTGGGTAGTTTGGCATTTGGAGAATTAAACCAGTGGCCAGCGCAGCAGGAAAACATGCAACAGCCCTTGTCTTACCAGGGTGTGGGTGACTTTTGAAGGACCTGCTCACCTCCAGCTGCCCTCCTGCAGTAAGGGAGGCAGAGAGAGCAGATGCAGCCATAGGAGAAAGTGAGGCACAAGCCCCAGCTCCATGACTCTCCCTGCCTGCCCTGCTTTTTCTTATCCCACAGAGTTTCATCATCCCCATCAGAGCAGGAAAGCTGCAAAAGTCTTTGGGCAGGCTGGAGGGGCTTGGAGCCCAGATGTGACAGGACCCAAGGCGCAGAGAAGGCAATGAGGGGAGCTGAGAATGGTACAGCTGCTGCAGCACCAGTACCTTTTCAGGGCTGTCATCTCTATTTTTAAAAATTAAGAAAGATTTTTACTTTTGCTATGTTTTCAGCATTGCACCAGGGCAGAATGGTAGTTAACAGTTATTTCTGGAATACACAGTACTTTCAACATGTATTTATAAACATAAGTATCCTCAGGGTTGAAGCTCCCCTCAGGCACTGCCAAGGACATGCAGGTGAAGTTAAATACTCCCATGAGATCCTCTGCTTCACTGGGATACATTGAGTGAGGCCATTTTTGACCAGTATGTCCCAGGAGACAATGCAGTCCCAGTACACGTAAACGAAGGAGATGGCTAATTATGTATCCTCAGCTGCTTCATTTCTTACTATTTCACTGAGTAAGGAGATGGGCACCCTCATGATTTGCTCTTGTCTTTCTCTCACCACAGCACTAGCCATTTAAAACCCTGCCAGCAGCAACTTACCGTACCAACACCTTCTCCCTGTTTGGACTCACAGCCTGCAATATTACCTAACGAGGGTGGACACTGGTATCAAGGTCATTTCCAGCATGAAACCCAAGGTAGAAGTTGGCAGGCTCCAGAGCAACCTTCCAAAAATGAGGGGGAAACCACACCAGCTCCATGGGATCACGTCAAAGCTGCCCTTCCACACCGTCTGTCCTTGCTGGTGTAGGGCATCTGGATGAAAGGAATCACAACTAAACCAGCAGGTCAAGATCTCTGAGCAGAAAACAAAGACCACACAGGCCCTGTGGTTGTTTACAGAGATGGTGGGAGATTCTGAGCAACCCGAGGGAGCAAGAAGAGGTCTCCTCCTGCACTGACACGGCAAGACATGATCTGCATCTTGGCCCCATAACTAATCACCAGGATCCAAGAGATCCTCTGCTGAGTACTGGGTGGGAGGAGACAGGGAGGCATCCCTAGGAACTCCTTGTCCCACCAAAGCAGGGAGCTGAGGCGTTTGTCCGAGATCTTCCACAAAGCCAGGCAAGCTAATTAAAAAGGAAGAAAAAGCCATGCGTAAGTGGTTTGCACTCATCAGATGAGAGGATGCAATACTCCCTCTTCACCAAGCAGGGTCAGCCGAACACTATTTTAAACACAAAACGAAGCCATTGAGGGAACTGCTGCTTCACATATCTTCTACCAGAGTTTTCAGCTTTGTAGCAAAGATGTTATCACCTCCAAGCTGCAGCAGAAGCGTTTCTGAAACAACTAGCTTGATTTTAAAGAACTGGAAGTTCAGCCTTGCAAGGTTCACATGCCCAGAACCAGCTCTGGAGGTTTCTATAAATCAGCAAAACCCAGATTAGAAGTAAAGTTGGTTTGAGGCCACAGCTGGTGATCATGCAGGAAATCAGACACGTGCCCAGGTTTCTCAGTCTGTTACTTTATTAGGAGGGTCTTTACATCATAGTGATGACCCCACTGAAGACATTTTACAAAATATTTTAAAAAACCCTTTTTATTCAAAGCCACATTTTAAAAATTGGCATCCCATCCCCCTCAAAACCAAGCTGGTTTAATCATGGTTCCTTCTGAACAGGAAACAACAAAAACATCCTCTTTTGAAAGGGGGAAAAAAATATAACCACCCTGTAAACATAACAATCAGAAGATGTGCTCCCCTGCCCTCTTCTAGGATGGGGACATGGTACTAGAGCCCCGGCACACCCGGAGAGGGAACAGAGAATAGGGACAGGGCAAGGGACACAACCATTCCTGCTCTCTATTAGCAAATGCAAAACTGTGTTGCTAGCTCCAGGCTGCAAATAAGCTGGACGTGAGAAAAGGACAACCGATTTATCATTTGGGCATCACATCAGCTCTTTAAAAGCCCCCAGAAATAGTCTCCTTCCTCATGGCTGCACAGTATCCAGAGAGAGCTGATGCTCCCTGGGCTGGTGAGGAAGGCAGGCAGAGGCAGCAATGCCCTTCAGCTGGAGAAGATGCGTTATGAAAACAGTGTGCTGCAGGACATCCTTCTCCAAGTCACATGTAAAAGATGAAGGACAGGCACCGGATACTGATTTCTGTGACAACAGCCATTTCATAGAATATGTCCAGCCTGACCCCAATGAGACCTGAAACGGAACCGCTGGGGCTGCCAGCACACATTGCTAATGCAATTAAAAGGCCCAAACCAGCACATTGCTCAGAAGCAACCAACCCCCTGCATTCATTCCTTTTACATCAGCTCCCATCCTGGTGCTATCACATCTGAAAGGCACAGTGAGTACTTTTGGAGATGGGATGGATGGTCTTCCCAGGAGGACAGCCTAGTTACTGAAAAACTGCTGTGCAGTCTGCTTACAAAGGGTGCCAGCCCTTAAGATCTCCACCTAGGCTATATTCTTTATTAAAGACATCAGTGGTGTGGATTCAGAATAGCCCAAATAGATGTAGTCTTGCTAGTTTGCAGGAAGCTTATAAATATGTATTATGAACTCTAAATGGGTAGTAAATGTAAATGCACTCCTCAGATGAAAGAACTGTTAAAGACCTGGGGCCTGGCTCCTTCACCTAGGTACCTAGAAGTAGCACATCACATACCACCTTTCCCTGAACTGCCAGTATGTCTCTAAATCAACACGAGACTTTAACTTTTTTTATAAGCAGAGACATCTTTTTCTTGCTAGGGAAGCAGGCCTACACCAAACAACCTTGTCCAGAGATCAACAGAGAGGAAAACTTAAGTGCTACCTTTCACCTTTTGGTTGTGCTAAGAAGGTGCTGCTGCCCAGTGAGGTCTCTGTCCCCCCACCAGGTCAGTGCTCTGGGTCCTACCCAGCAGCTCAGCCAAGTGCAGCTGTGTGTAGGCAGAGGAAAGCAGCCCAATGGAGACACACTACCACGGAGCAGAAAGGACAGAGGCTGGACCTGCCGCTGCTCTGCCGCTCTGCAGCGTGACTCCAAGCTGAGTGCCAGGAGAATCATCCAAGAAACCGTGGCACATCATAAGGAGACGAGACATCAGTGGAGAAAGCAACGTTGAGAGTAACAAGCCACCATGACCTGTCTTTGCATCTCCTCTTCCCTTGCATTCCTTGTTTCAAGACTCCTGTATTCCTTCCAAATGATGCTTGGCAGCCCATAGCCATGAGTGGCCAGGCTGGCTGACCCACACGGCCAACACATATATAGCACTTAAAAAAAAATAAATCTCAAACACATGTGGGATCATGAGAGCTCTGGCAATAGCACCCTTCTGCCCCTCACTTGTCCTGACCAGAAGGCACATGATTGTGACCAAACCTCACTGCAGGACTGAGCGCCGTTACAAACCTCCCTCTCTGCATGTACACATACACTTCTTTAAGAAACAAAAGCCTGCAGCCAGCTGAACAGTTGAATTATGCCATAGTCCGTTCTCCAGTAAGACAGTGTTAGGTAAGTGCCAGAGGGACTGTGGTGCCAGTAATCACAGCAAATGAAGAAGCAGAAGCATCTTTGGAAGGACATCCAGGCACTCCCCTTTCTGCATAGTCTGTACGAGGAGGAAGAGGAAAGAAAAAAAACCCCAACCCTCTCTCCTCAAAGGCAAAAAAAAAATCCAAATCACTGTCTCTCCCTTGAGCAAAAAAAGGACCACAGTAGACAGAAATAAATCTAAGGCAAGTGTTGGTGGGCCACAAGGCCAAGGTTAGCCTAAGACCACACCAAAGCTGCCCTGCCCCAGACAAGTCCTTACAGAGGACCAGGAGGAGGAGCAGCCACAGTGATAAGCTCTGCAGAGGGCAGGAGCCTGTTTCTCCTGTTCAGAGCGGTTATTGCTTCAGTCTGAGCTGACAAGCCCGGTGAGCACCAGGCTCACGTGAAGGCCACGCATCCAGCTAACAGTGCAAATACGACTGCAGAAAGAGTCCTGCCCGGCTTCCCAGCCTGGAGCTGTGCTGAGCAGGCCAGCTCCTGGAAAAGCCACCAAACTTCCAGTCAGCATCCCCCAGTGTGGGACAGAGGCCGTGTTTATCTCAGACAGTGAAGGGACAAGAGGGTGGTGGTGTGAGAAGAGGCTGCTGAGAGGGTCTTCCCAAGTCCAAAGTTGCCCACCTGCAGCCCAGGAGGACACAAGAAGTACCAGCTGGTGGCCTGCCAGCTGCAGGGCGTTAGGAGCTCTCTGCAGAGCTGAAGGGGACGAACTTGGCATGTTTGGTTGGGGATGCTGGCGTCTGTCCATCTGCCTCCTCGCTGAGTTTGAAGAACATCTCCTGCTCACGCTTCTTCTGGTTCAGCTCATCCTCCAGAGCCTTAAAGAGAAGGGAACACACACAACCAGAGATGGAGAGACTGTACTGTAACTATGGGCACTGCCCCCCCAGCCAGCCAAGCAGGACACCCTGTGCACACCGAGGAGGCACTACCTTCTTCCGTGGCCTCAGCTTGTCCCGCCACTCCTTCATGTGCTGGTTGTGGTTCTCATCCAGGGACTTAAGCTTCTGGGTTTCGTGCTCAATCAAGAGGTGACACTTTTCATTCTAAACACAGATCACAAAACAAAACACCCATTAAGCAGCTGGGACTGTAAATCCTGTGGTTGAACAGGACTTGCATGGGCCAGAGGCATTCAGAGCTCTAAGCTCCAGGGCATGTTTAAACACGGCCACAAAAACCTCTCAAGGCAGAGCAGGGGGACCTCAGTTCTAGTTCACCAACGGTCCCCTGCAGCCACTTCTTACATCATGCTCCTTGTGCTGGAGCAGAAACAGTGCACAGGCAGCTCCGAGAGGCTGAGCAACAAGGGATGGGTACCTGCAGCTGCTGGAGCTCATTCGTGTTGCTCTCACACTGGGCCAGCATGTCCTTCATCTGCGTCTCGTGCTTCTGCTGCTGGTGCAGCCGCTCTGCTTTTTGCCTCTTCTCTTCCTGCTGAGCAAACTGGAAGAGAGAAAAGCAGGCGCCCAGGTGGGCAGTGTTGCTCTGATCTCTGAAGCTGGTTAAGAGACTAGCCTGCTCGCGCTATTTTATGGCAACAAAAGAAAAGCCCCAAGGATGCTCCCCAACGCTAGTCACAACGGAAGCAGCGCTGAAAACCACACTTGATGCCACAAAAGCAAAGACCTTTGTCTCCTTGCAGTGAGTTAGAAATTTGGGAGTATTTGCTGGCCTAATGGGAGAAGAAAAGCCAAAAAAAGGCCAAGTGCTTCACCCCCAAGCCAAGCCTCAGCCCTGGTGCCCTTTGCAGGACCTGACCTGTTTGATCTTCTCCCGCTGCTCAGATGCGCTCCCGCTGGAGTGGATGTGAAGGCTCTTCTTGTACATGGCCATGCGTGTCTTCCCTTCGCTCCGCTGGATTTTGGGGAGCCGGGCTTTCTCCTGCTGCTGCCGAATTTTCAGCTGCTCCAACATGCGCTGGTTGTATCGCTGCATTTGCTCCCTTTCCTGTGATGGCAGAAGGAGAGGTATCAGAGGAGGAGACACCCCTCAGGCCAACAAGAAAGTGATGAGGAGACCACAGAGAGTTGGGAGAGCAGATATGGGAGTTGAACAGAGGTGTCTGGTGACAGACATCTCCAAGGGGACAAGAGGTGAGGGCAGCTATGCAACATGCTGTGAAAGCACAGAAGGGGGCTGGAAGGAAGCAGAAATGACCTTGAGATGGGCCAGTCTTCACTTGCTGCTCTGGGAATTCACCATCCCACATACTGGACAGCAACAGATTTCCAGAAAAGCCGCCAGAGTTCACAACTGCTTCTTGTCCATTAAATGCATGTGGCGCAGAATATACATCCCAAGCAAGGAGGATGATCCAAGCATTATTCTGGCCCCTTCTCACTAATAATGACCAAATCCTTTAACTCTGAGCCCATACCCCACTCCCACTTACAGCCTGGAAGGGAAACATCCCTTCTGAGGACACCCAGGCACCCTTGCTGACCAACACCAGCGTAGGAAGGTGTTAACTCTTCACCTTCTCATGCTTCCGGAGCAACTCGTGCCTCTGGAGGAAATACTGGTCCTTCAGCTGCTGCTTGACAAGCTGGTGTTTCTCCTGTTGCTGACGCTCTTCGAGATCCCAGATGCAGGCCTCCCGGTCTGAGGAAGGGAGAAGGGTCAGGAGACAACCCACCCTGGTCACACAAAGCATCCCCAGCACGAGCGATCCCTACACACAGGAGCAGTACAGCAGATGTAGGGGGTGATCATTCACCTCCTGTTTTCCACGAGAAACTGGTTGCAAACCGTATCAGAGAATCATTTCTTGCAATTATGAAGCCTAATTGGTTCGTATTTGTTAAGCGCTTTGAAGATTAAAGCGCTAAGTATTATTATTGTTAAACATTTAGACAGGATCTGGCAAGGCTGTTTTTTCTAAATCCTATCTTGCCAGCTTGCAACTCTGTCACAGCATCTGTTGCGTGGGAAGAGCCAGCGTTGGATAAACCCACTGCTACAGCATTTGCTTTCCTCCTTTTCAGCCTTTGCCACCCACCTCTCATGAGCTGCTGCTTTTTGTTCAAGCACTCGCGCTCCTTGTCGCAGATCTCTTTTTTATTCTGGGCGGTTATATTCTTCATGGCTAGTTCCAGGTCCTCCTTCTGCTTGGCCAAAAACTCCTGTTCCTGGAAGAAAACAGCAGTACAAACACCTTGAGCTGCAACTTGAAAAGCATCTGGCGGTATTTTAAAATACCTGCCAGTCCCTTGAGGAGGAAAGATGCCTCTTTCTACTACATGCTTCCCCATCTTGGAGTTGTAGCAATCTTCTCTCAGCCTTACCATGGTTTGTTTTTTCTGGGCAAAGTCATCCATCTTCACCTTCATGTTCCCTTTGCGCTGTTGCCGTGGTAGCTTCTCAACCTCGTTCTTGACCTTTGGGGAGGGAAATGAGGTCACTTTAGGCCAGGAACAACTCTACCTAATGTTGCTGTACAGATGGACCTCAGAAAACACCCAAATATACCAAACAAACCCAAGTGCTTCCTTCTAAAACACCAATTTCCCTCTTGAGATCTGCTCTGGAGAAATGCTAGAGCTTTCCTGGAAGAAACAGATGCAGGAAAACAGCTTTCCTCCATCTTATTCCCATTTTTACCTCCTTCTTCATCTGCTTCAGCTGCTCCAGGAATTTGACGTGGTCCCGCTCCTGCTCCAGGCGAATGCGCTTGGCCTCCTCCCGCCGGCGCAGCGAGTGATCTTGTTCCATCTTCTCAATCTGCTGCTTCTGCTGCTTTTCGAGGTTTTCCAGTTCGGTGTCATAGAACTTCTTCTTTGTCTGTATGGGAAGGGAACAGAGGTCAACCTCAGCCACCTCTGTGCTCTGTTTCCTCCCAAAAGTTTAAAAGAAAAAAAACAAACCAAAAACACCACAGAAAGGAAGGGAAAAAAACTGGGGGGTATGTGTCCTTGCATGAATTGAGTCGCTTTACTAAACACAGAGAAGTTTCCGAATAACGCCCCGTGGAGCACACAGGGCAGAGCCAGCTCCAGCGTGAGCACAAAGTGTTTTTGAACTTGTTCTAGCACTGGTGCATTTCAACCCTTTCTCCTTGCTTACGTCCTGATCTACAGCATCCCACTGGGACCCACGGCCCTGGGCAAATATTAGCAGGCAGTGAAGCTCAAACATAACAGTTCTTTCTTTGCAAACCAGGATTTCCACTTTTCCTGCTCTCAGACAGCACCCTTGTGTCCACTCTCTCCCGCTGTGAGCACTCAGGTGTCAGCAGAAGTGGGTGACAAACTGTCCTGGGGAAAGGGGTAAGGAGGCACTTTTGGGGCTTTTGCATGTGGCACTGCACGGTGAAATCCATTTCACAAATGAGAAGTGACTTGCTGAGATGGGAATTCACAGACGTGGCACGTCAAGACTAGAAATGTAACAGAACACAGAAATGAGTGATGGCTCCCAGCCTGCCGCGAGGGGATGGGGCTACCAGACACACACACGAGGTGAATTACTAAAGGGGTACTTAAAAGTTGGCTCATGAAAACTTTAAAGGGACTTGCCTACAAAATTATTTTGCTTCGGTGTAAGCTGTCCATGGACGGACTAAGTATATATATGTCCAGTTTATCTTTATTCAATTCACACTCAAAGTTTTGGCAGTTTTCCTGCTTTCATATTCTGGCCACACTGCTTTCTTATTTAAAGGTTTGGGTTTTTTTTGTGAAATACAACAGCGCTATAAACCATTTCCCATCGTAGCCCTGAACAGACATACAATAAAGGATCACCAAAGAGGGAAACTCCAGGACAACCCTTCCCCTGCTACACCCTGCTGGGCAATGGCAGCCAGTCCTTCTCCAGCCACAGATGGCATGTGCTTAACGCCCACAAAAGCTTCTGTCCTCCACAAACGCATCCCATCCCTCGGATCCCAAAGGGGTTTCTTGGCTGTCCTCCTCCCTCCAGATGTGATGCCCCAGGGATGCTGCGACCCTGAGAGCATCGCCCTCTGTGAGGGTTTGCAGGGCATCTGCAGAAGTCAAGCCAGCCCGTACCCAGGAGCTTCCCCTTCCCTGCCCACCTACCGTCATTTCTTGCTCGAAGCGCCGGAGCATCTGCTCCAGCTGCAGCTGGTGCTTGCTGTTGAGCTGGGCCTGGTTGCGGTGCTCCTCCTTCTGAAGGAGACGCAGCTCCCGCAGCTCCTGCCGCCTGCGGAGGGTTAAAAATGGAGAAATACCCAGTCAGGCAAGTCCAGAGCCCCGTGCCTGAGTGGAGAGGGCAGAATCAAGAACCAGAGCGTTTCAGCGGGGCACGGCAGCCACACAACCATCCCGTAGAACCATGCTGCTTGCTCTGAGGACAGGCAGGAGGTGAATGCCAACCGAGTGATGTGCTCTGGGCTCCAACACGCCAGCACACTGCGAGGAAGTGGGATGCTAATTGCATTGACTGCTGGCAAACCCTCAGTTTTCACAGGTAAGGTGTGTTAGCGTTCACAGCTCCTCAAACAAGCCCTGTCGAAGCTCCTGAGGTGATGCTGCAGGGAACAGGCTCCCAGCCAGCACCCAAAATACCTGTTCTGCCAGTTGGGTTAGTGCACGTTGGTCTTCAAAACACAGCTCAGGCCAAGCTGGGGCTGCCCTGGCCTGGCCCCAGTACTCTGTATCCCTTCTTGCTCGTGCCTGGGTGGCAGAAAGGGCTATTTTCCCAAATCCTGACCTATCTAGCATGATATTGCATCACTCCCTGCACCCAGCCTCACGTCCAGTAAAAGGGAACCTCTGCTCAGACGGTTGTGTTTGGGCCCGTTTGCCATGTCTGTGCCTGACTGAGCTGGAAATCACTGATGTACCAGGGAAAAGGACCAGCAGAAGCCATTTCCCCAAGCAGGATCCCTTCCATGACCTCTGCTGCTGCCTCACACATCAAGTACCACACTCTCCTGGAATGACTTCTTTCAAAACAAACTCAAGCCCCATTAAACCAACTGGCACAATATGATGTGCTCTCTTCTAAGCTATCCTTCAGATCAATACCTTGGTGTGCTCTGAAACGCCAAAAACAAGCCCTTTAAGTGCAAATCAAGATGCCAGGGGAGTTGATGGTGCCCACTAGCTAGTCCCAAGGGAAAAAACACTTCTTCCAAAAGATGTCCTGGCACTCAATGCTTTCCAAGCCAAGCCCCTATGTCTTTTCTACCACCTCCCAGATGGAGCAGGCACTATTTAAAAATTAAAAAGGAGCCTCTTTCCAGGGACAAAAACCACCACACCTAAGCGGACCAAGAGAAAACAGCAGTGGCTGCAAATCCCCAGTACACATGCTCCCTGTGTATTATTGGGGTTATATGCACTTCTCACACAAAAATTAGTAGCTCATGACCTTCTGCACACATCTGACATTACAGCGTAGAAATAAGGCTGCTGCAGGGACACATGGTACTTGGGACAGATTATAGTCTCAGGGAGTCCCTCAGAGCAGCACAACGGAGCCTAGAATAGGGAATCAAGTAAAAATAATTTCTGTTTTAATTATTTTAAGGGCCTTCTCATTTCAGTGCTGCTACTGCTAGTAACAAAGCTAGAAACAGCAGTTTCTCTCCCTGAGAAAGGGTCATGGAGGTTTGAAAGCTGCAAGATCCACAAAGGAGTCATAAAGCCTTAAGCAGGGAGGACACACCCATGAATATTAAGTGATGATCAAGGAGTTTACAACTCCCTTGGCCTTTCTGTTAATGAAATCTGAGGAGATACAAGAACAAAATGAAGAGGAGCATCTTGAGAAGATTTCAGTGCTTATTTTTCCAGGAGACACCATTCAGTCACCCCCCTGAGGACAGAGCCAGCCACAGCACAAGCTTCCCTCACCACAGCCTTGCTGCATCTTATCCCCGAGATGCATCCCTTTGTTCTCCTGCAAACAGAACTCAGCTTAGGTGTTGCAGCAAGCCCTCCAAAGAAAGGCTAAAAAGGCTAAAAGTAGTATTGTCCACACTGGACAGTTGTTCTGTCCAAGACAGAAAAATGGAGGACTTTACATCGCTCCTGGATTTGTTTGCAGAAAAAAAATCTCTGCCCTGACTCAGCCCCCTGCCCTCCCTTCCTCCCTCCCTCCCAGTGACCCACTTGCCTGAGAAATCTCATCTCTTCGTCCTTCTTCTCATCCTCGCTGATGATCTTTGAGGTGGTGACGCTCACCTCTACTCCATCCACCACAAACTTGCGGGTGCGTTTCAGTGTCTTCTTGTGCATCCTTGAGTCCTGAGTTCAGCAGGGGAGGAAAGGAGGAGGCCATGAAGCAGCTCCCCGGCTCGTTGCACAGGGTGCTACAGCTGGAAGCCTCAGAGCAATTTTGATGCCATTAATGAAGAACATAAGCAAGGAAACCACACTGAGCAAAAATCATCGGCAGGTTTGAAGCTGCCATTCAAACCACGCAGCCTCTGCTACCATGCTGAAGTACAGCATGATTTCCACCCTGCAGAAACCTGACCTGGAGGAGAGACAACCCACCAACCCAAGGGCCTTTCCTCACTACCTAAAGTAGACCCTGAAGGGGGATGTCGGGACCTTGCTGTATTGCAGTGTTGAGGAATCCACGCAATGTGAAGCTTGCAAAGGGTTCTTTTAAAGCTGCTGGCCCATTTTACCCACAGGTACCCCCACACCTGCAGGTGTGAGATGGGCAGGACCTCATGTCAGGCTGTGGCTGCAGATGGAGCCACAGGGAAACAAGCCAGCCCTGCCCAAAGACTCAGCTCTCCTGTCCCTCTAGCCCTCATTACAGTACTCTGCTAATCACAACCAGCTCTGAGCCCCTTACAGCAACCTCCAAAAGCACAGCCCAGGCTCACTTTCATTAGCATAGGTAGGGACAAGTGCAAGGAGCACAGCACCCTCTGCCAGCAGACCCACAACGGGTCCGCATCCAGCCTGCCCAAAGGACTGTGTCCAGGGACTCAGTTTCTTTGGGGAAAAAAAAATAATAAATAAAATATATGTATATATAGGAAAGACTTGAATCATGTAGCCCTACAGGGAAAGCACAGTGGCAGAATGAGCAAAGTCCCTGAAGTCTTCTTGCTCTACTGTGATGACCATTACAGATATAGAAGATGGCAGAAGAGCTTCATGAGAGCCAGCAAGGCCCAAAGCAAACCTCCAGAGAGCTTGCTGCAATGGAGGAGACGGAGAAACTCCAAGAGCACGCAACTTGCTCACTGTGTAACAATGTCTCACTATAGTAGTGGTTCAGCCTACACAGAGAAATTGGTGCAAAGAAGTTTGCACGAGACCAGCTTAGGTCACAAAGGCTCTTACTGCTCCAAACTGAATTGAAACGGCTAAACCTCCTGTGTTTTCAAAATGAGAAAATGCCATCATCCAGCTGTCTGAGCCACCCGCGGTGCCCATTAACACTACCTCCAGAGAGCTTGCTGCAATGGAGGAGACGGAGAAACTCCAAGAGCACGCAACTTGCTCACTGTGTAACAATGTCTCACTATAGTAGTGGTTCAGCCTACACAGAGAAATTGGTGCAAAGAAGTTTGCACGAGACCAGCTTAGGTCACGAAGGCTCTTACTGCTCCAAACTGAACTGAAACAGCTAAACCTCCTGTGTTTTCAAAATGAGAAAATGCCATCATCCAGCTGTCTGAGCCAAGTGCCCATTAACACCGTGACTCACTGAGCCCAGCAACCTGGAGCTGCTGTAGCCAGGCTGGTGCCTGGTCCCCGAGTGGTCCCCAGGCTCTTCCCCCACTCCTGAAGGAGCAGCTCCCTGCCATGTTCATGGAGCTACTCAAATGTAGATCTAAAACCATAATTATTTTCTCCTGGTATTTTCTGTTATCCCTCAGTAGCAAATTATTTTAAGGGCCTTCTCATTTCAGTGCTGCTACTGCTAGTAACAAAGCTAGAAACAGCAGTTTCTCTCCCTGAGAAAGGGTCATGGAGGTTTGAAAGCTGCAAGATCCACAAAGGAGTCATAAAGCCTTAAGCAGGGAGGACACACCCATGAATATTAAGTGATGATCAAGGAGTTTACAACTCCCTTGGCCTTTCTGTTAATGAAATCTGAGGAGATACAAGAACAAAATGAAGAGGAGCATCTTGAGAAGATTTCAGTGCTTATTTTTCCAGGAGACACCATTCAGTCACCCCCCTGAGGACAGAGCCAGCCACAGCACAAGCTTCCCTCACCACAGCCTTGCTGCATCTTATCCCCGAGATGCATCCCTTTGTTCTCCTGCAAACAGAACTCAGCTTAGGTGTTGCAGCAAGCCCTCCAAAGAAAGGCTAAAAAGGCTAAAAGTAGTATTGTCCACACTGGACAGTTGTTCTGTCCAAGACAGAAAAATGGAGGACTTTACATCGCTCCTGGATTTGTTTGCAGAAAAAAAATCTCTGCCCTGACTCAGCCCCCTGCCCTCCCTTCCTCCCTCCCTCCCAGTGACCCACTTGCCTGAGAAATCTCATCTCTTCGTCCTTCTTCTCATCCTCGCTGATGATCTTTGAGGTGGTGACGCTCACCTCTACTCCATCCACCACAAACTTGCGGGTGCGTTTCAGTGTCTTCTTGTGCATCCTTGAGTCCTGAGTTCAGCAGGGGAGGAAAGGAGGAGGCCATGAAGCAGCTCCCCGGCTCGTTGCACAGGGTGCTACAGCTGGAAGCCTCAGAGCAATTTTGATGCCATTAATGAAGAACATAAGCAAGGAAACCACACTGAGCAAAAATCATCGGCAGGTTTGAAGCTGCCATTCAAACCACGCAGCCTCTGCTACCATGCTGAAGTACAGCATGATTTCCACCCTGCAGAAACCTGACCTGGAGGAGAGACAACCCACCAACCCAAGGGCCTTTCCTCACTACCTAAAGTAGACCCTGAAGGGGGATGTCGGGACCTTGCTGTATTGCAGTGTTGAGGAATCCACGCAATGTGAAGCTTGCAAAGGGTTCTTTTAAAGCTGCTGGCCCATTTTACCCACAGGTACCCCCACACCTGCAGGTGTGAGATGGGCAGGACCTCATGTCAGGCTGTGGCTGCAGATGGAGCCAGGGGAAAACAAGCCAGCCCTGCCCGAAGACTCAGCTCTCCTGTCCCTCTAGCCCTCATTACAGTACTCTGCTAATCACAACCAGCTCTGAGCCCCTTACAGCAACCTCCAAAAGCACAGCCCAGGCTCACTTTCATTAGCATAGGTAGGGACAAGTGCAAGGAGCACAGCACCCTCTGCCAGCAGAGCCACAACAGGTCCACATCCAGCCTGCCCAAAGGACTGTGTCCAGGGACTCAGTTTCTTTGGGGAAAAAAAAATAATAAATAAAATATATGTATATATAGGAAAGACTTGAATCATGTAGCCCTACAGGGAAAGCACAGTGGCAGAATGAGCAAAGTCCCTGAAGTCTTCTTGCTCTACTGTGATGACCATTACAGATATAGAAGATGGCAGAAGAGCTTCATGAGAGCCAGCAAGGCCCAAAGCAAACCTCCAGAGAGCTTGCTGCAATGGAGGAGACGGAGAAACTCCAAGAGCACGCAACTTGCTCACTGTGTAACAATGTCTCACTATAGTAGTGGTTCAGCCTACACAGAGAAATTGGTGCAAAGAAGTTTGCACGAGACCAGCTTAGGTCACAAAGGCTCTTACTGCTCCAAACTGAATTGAAACGGCTAAACCTCCTGTGTTTTCAAAATGAGAAAATGCCATCATCCAGCTGTCTGAGCCACCCGCGGTGCCCATTAACACTGTGACTCACTGAGCCCAGCAACCTGGAGCTGCTGTAGCCAGGCTGGTGCCTGGTCCCCGAGTGGTCCCCAGGCTCTTCCCCCACTCCTGAAGGAGCAGCTCCCTGCCATGTTCATGGAGCTACTCAAATGTAGATCTAAAACCATAATTATTTTCTCCTGGTATTTTCTGTTATCCCTCAGTAGCAGGTATAACAGTATCCTTACGATGCTGAACTTATGTTCAGTATCCTCTCTTGAACACGAGTAAATGTGCTTTCAAACACTCCTGTGAAGTAAATTGCTCTCCAGAGAAGAGTCTGAGAAACTGTGGTCATATGGGATGCTGACTTTGAGTCCCCACTCTGAGCACACTTCACAGCACACATCCCAGTGTGACTCCTCAAGCTCCCAAGGGTTTCAGCCAAAGCTGTGAATGCTCAGAACCCAAGGAGGTCAGACACTGTGACTCACTGAGCCCAGCAACCTGGAGCTGCTGTAGCCAGGCTGGTGCCTGGTCCCCGAGTGGTCCCCAGGCTCTTCCCCCACTCCTGAAGGAGCAGCTCCCTGCCATGTTCATGGAGCTACTCAAATGTAGATCTAAAACCATAATTATTTTCTCCTGGTATTTTCTGTTATCCCTCAGTAGCAGGTATAACAGTATCCTTACGATGCTGAACTTATGTTCAGTATCCTCTCTTGAACACGAGTAAATGTGCTTTCAAACACTCCTGTGAAGTAAATTGCTCTCCAGAGAAGAGTCTGAGAAACTGTGGTCATATGGGACGCTGACTTTGAGTCCCCACTCTGAGCACACTTCACAGCACACATCCCAGTGTGACTCCTCAAGCTCCCAAGGGTTTCAGCCAAAGCTGTGAACGCTCAGAATCCAAGGAGGTCAGACTTCAGAGACTCAAGCTAGACACTGAAAAGGAGTTACCTCCAGAAACACTTGTTTCTGAAAAAGTTTGGTTTACCTTTTCAAAACTCTATTCTTCTCCTGCCTGTTTCTGACTGTTTTCTCTGCCAGCTGCAGCCTCCCAAACTCACCTGTAGATTTCTTATCCCTAATCTTTCTAAAAAAAATAAAAATTATCTGAAAAAGTTTGGTTTACCTTTTCAAAACTCTATTCTTCTCCTGCCTGTTTCTGACTGTTTTCTCTGCCAGCTGCAGCCTCCCAAACTCACCTGTAGATTTCTTATCCCTAATCTTTCTAAAAAAAATAAAAATAAAAATAGACCCAGATACTTTTTGCTAAAACTTTTTTTTTGCCTAAACTATAAGCAACTGGAAAAAGAGTCTGGTAATAAAAGAGTCACCTTAACTGTGCGGTTTAGCCTGTGATAAAAAGCAAGTAATAGTTAATGTTTACAACCAGAAATGGTTTAACACTTTGCTGGAACCTGCCTGGCACCCTGTGCACGCCCTCCAGCACACCAGGAACATTTGCAAAGGCAGAGCAGGGGAGTTTAACACCACGAAGCTAAGGCTGGGCAAGGAGCCTGGGTGAGGAGGGAGCCACACAGCCTGGTACCCCCGTGCACACTCACAGCTCCCGGTGCAAAGCAGAGGTGTCAGCAGAGCATCTTTCCCAGGGCCCTCCAGCAGCATCACTCCTAGAGAGCTCTGCCTGATCACCTTGCTTGGAGGGATGCCATTGAGTTTGTTCTGAGCACTGCCTCTGGCTGGGGCAATTCAAACCGTGAGCTAACGTGACCATCTGTTAGAGACTTACTCCTTGTAAGACTCAAAAAAACTCCTTTCCCATTCTCGGGGACCAACTGGGGAGAGCAATTTGTGGCATCATATTTATCTTTGGCTTTATCCTCAAGGAGACCAGGTGTCACAGGAAAGGCAGTGAGGAGGGGTGAATTGCTAAGCAAGAGCATCACACTTCCCTCATTAGGGATCCACACTGATTGCGAGCTCCTGTGGGGGATGCTGGCTCTCATGCTCACAGCAGGAGACAGGAGGGGAGGAAAGTTTTGCTGAGAATGATTTTCAGGCACGTTTCTGTGCCGGGAAGCTATCCCTCATGCAGGCAATTGGATAAAGGCCTTGTGCAACACATCACTCTGCCCCTTCAAGTCACACACATTTATTCTTCTGAAGCTCAGCAAATACCATTCCAGTTATTTTGCTTCTTCCTCTAAGCCATGCTGACCTGGCCAGCTTTGGCTCACAAGCATTTCCAACCTCTGGAAAGCCTAAGCAAAAGCCAAGAAGCCTGGGAGGTCTTCATGCAAGTCACTACTGACACAAACCAGGCCAGATGTGTGGCAGGTTGGAAAAACTGAGAGAGGCACCAGCCCAAATAAGCTTTCTCCTTGGGCTAGGTGTTCTAGGAAGGAACATTGGAGTGAGGGACAATCTATAAAGTTTAGGAAATCACATTTGGGATTTCATACTTGTCCTTGCTCTGACTGTACAACTGCACAAGTTAGGTGAGTGGCACAGTCATTTCACACTTCTCAGGAACCCAAAATAGCTACAAATATTGGACTTCCATTAGATTTCAGTGGCCTGGGGCACTTCAGCAGCTCCACTGAGAGCTTCTGCTCCCTTTGGGGACATGCCATTGGACTTGATGATCTTTAAGGTCCCTTCCAACCTAGACGATTCTATGATTCTATGATTCTCCTGTGGCTCAGTTTAACGCAGACCCATGTGTGGAGTGCTTTTTAGCAGGGGTTTGCTGCCCTCCCTTCTCCGCACCCTCTGCCCACCACTCTCACCTTCAGGGAGATGGAGCCACTTTCTCTGTTGAGGGACAGGTCAGCAGACAGGGAGATGGTGAGGTCCATGCTTTCAGAGGCTGAAGTGCTGCCAGAATCCGAATCCCCTTTGGACCGGCTGCCAGAGAACGGTGCTGGGGGCTCCAAGCTCCCATTGGCAAGCTTCTCATTCGTGAAGTTCTCCAGGTGGCTGCTCTCTGGTCGTTCCCCGATGCTCTTCCGCTCCTTGCTGCCTGGCCCAGGCTGCTTGTCACCCTCCGCTGAGTTAGCCAGCTGTCCAGGCTGCGAGATGATGTCTGGCTTGCCCTGGGTGGCCGAGGTGGTCGAGCTGGAAAGGGTCTTTGTAGAATGGTTGCTCTCCAATTTGTCATTGTCACTGCTTATCCCTTCATCTGAGACTTTATCACTTTGTCCATCTGTGGTCTCTTTGCCAGTCCCCACAGGCCCATTCACTGCCTTGGGCAAGGAAGAGTCCGGAGGCTTCTCTCCATCAAAACTCATCTGACTTGCCTCAGAAGGGTCCCGCTTGTGCTTCCCAGGGGGCTGGAAAGGCAGCGAAGGGAAAGTGTTGGGTTTTGCTCCACCACTTTAACACAACTGCAAGAGCTGCAAATCCTCACGCATCAAAGTCACCCACAGCTAAAGAGTTATTGGAAGGAAATCTTCCCTTTCAGGACACCTACTATCTATCTATACTTCTGTCTTTCTCCAGGTTTGTGGTCCTAAGGACTATGGACACTGGATGGAAGGAAACAGCACAGTGGGGCAGCTATAGAACCTGCAAATTCTTAAGAGGCACCACTTTTTGCAAGCCCCTCCCACAAGCAGGCAAGCTGGGCCACCCGCCAGCATCATTGTTTCTCCATGCCCTTGGCAGCCACTGAAAAACAGCCCCTCCCTGGCCAAGCAACAGCTTCCCCCTCCACCTGATGGGGCCCAGAAGAGCCGTGAACCAGCCTTTAGGAGCCTAGAAAAGTTGCTGGGCTCTTTCCTTCACCACAGTCGTACTGGCAAACTGGCCAGCATGGGGCCGGGAGCACTCACCGAGACAGACTCTGAGGAGTCATCGTCTTCTGCTTCATCCCTACTGTCCTCGATCTCTTCCATCACCTCAGCCTTGGCCTCGGCCACCAGCTCGCGTAGGGCCCGGTTGCTGGTCACCTTGCTGACGAAGGGATGCTGAAAAGCCAAGCACAATGCACATGCATGAGGTGGCCAAAAAAACCTGACCTCCTGGCCAAGTGAGCCCTTGGGGATGCCAACGGCAAGGACCACCTCTTGCTCTAACACCACCGCAAAGACCTAAGGACATGGTTCTCGCCACTGTCACCAGGCTCAACCCCCCAGATGAATTTACAGATGTATGGCAGGTTGGAAAACCTGAGAGAGGCACCAGCTCAAATAAGCTTTCTCCTTGGGCTAGGTTTTCTACGAAGGAGCAGTGGAGTGAGGGACAATCTATAAAGTTTAGGAAATCACATTTTGGGTTTCATACTTGTCCTTGCTCCGACTGTACAACTGCACAAGTTAGGCAAGTGGCACAGTCACTTCACACTTCTCAGGAACCCAAAATAGCTAGAAATATTGCTGAATTTACAGCAATTACAGATGAATTTACAGATAGGTGCTCCACGTGTGAGGGAGAACAAGAGCCAACATGATGCCGAGGTCAAGAGCCAGCTCTGCACACAGATGCTCAGAGCGTGGTGCTCTGCAAAGCTGCTTTATGTCAACATCCCCCCAAACAAAAGCACCAGCTGCGTTTAAACAAGGGGCTCTCACTGCAGAGGAGATGTCCCCCCTCACCACAGGCAGGCTGAGCTCTGGAGTGCAGGTCCCAGCCCTCAGAGTGCCACCAGGAGCAGGACACGAGCCGGTCTGCAGCATCCCTGAGCGCAAACAGAGCCTGGGGGAAGGTTTAACTGAAACCGGGCTCAAATCGCTGGGTGCACACAGCAGGGTGTTTGTGGTGAGATCCAGAAAAAGGGTCTGCAGGGAAGGTTGCACGTTTCCTCCCTCCACCTCGGGTGCAGGACAGGGAGCGAGCAGCCAGCGCCGCAGAGCGAGAGGGTCTGCGGTCAGCAGGGAAAAAAATCACCGTCCAGGATTTTGCTATTATTTTGAAAGGGGAGAGGTGGAAAGGAAAGGACTTGAATTTAAATCTGGGATAACCAGGTATAACCCAAGCTGGCTGCCCTGCGGGCATTTTTAGGCAAGGGGAGCCAGTTTCAGTCCAGCTGGTGTCCACAGGGGCTCTGCAGGTTGCTCCATAGGCAAAAGCATTGCTGTTCCTTTTTGGAGCGTTTTAGTGACTGAAAGGGACTATGAACTTTCTAAACAAGACAAAGGCCATCTGAAATCAACCTAGGGCCCATCAACACTTTTTTTTTTTTCCCCCCTTTTATCCTCCTTAAGGAGAACCAGGCTGTACAGACACAGGTGGTTTGGACACTCGTGATCCAGACACCAGCTGCAGACCCAGCCCAGAGGCTGGTGCTGGTCCCTACCTCCAGCAGCTGGGCAGCACTGGGCCGGGTCTCCGGGTTCTTGTCCAGCGCCGTCTTCAGGAAGTCTCTGAACTCCATGGACCTTAAAACACAGTCGTTGGTGAGAAGCTCAGAAGAGGGAAAAGGCCTCAAACACCACAGAGGTCTGCTCAATCCCTTTGCAGTTTGTGTCCAGTTGACACCTGGCCACAATTACCATTTCATTCCCAGCATGGGAAAGCCAGTGCTCAGTTACTCTGATTATTTATAAGAGAATGAGCAACATCACCAAGGGAAGGACTACATTTTGGTTTACCTGTGATGGCAACAGACAGTGGGACTGAGCACCAGCCACTGTCCCCCATGGCCAAGGCAAAGAGAGAAAAGAGAACACCAGCAATTATCCTCCAAAGGGAGCCCATGGTGGAGCTGCTTGCGGACAAGGATGCTCTGGGCTCCATCCCCACAGTTGCAGTGTGAAAGAACGGATGTGACGGACCATGAACCCCATAGGAGGGCACCCTCAGCCTGCAAAGCGCAGCTCTGAGATACAGACTGTCCCCCTGATCCAATTCTGGCTTCTGAGCTGCTCCAGAGGAAAAGCTCCCACCCTGCCTGCTGGATTTATTGGCAGGGTCCTACTTGCTACCTGAACCGCTTTAACAATGCTTGTGACAATGCTGGCTTTCATGCAGTGGGTTTTGTCACAACTACAAAAAAAATAACAATTAACTGATAGAATTTTTTTTAAAATGCAGAAGAGGTTTTCCTGACTCCAGGAAAGAAATTCTGAAGGTCTTGGGCATCTCCAAGTTTAGAATAAGATCTGCCTTTCACAGGACAGGCAGGATGTCTTCAAAACCAGGATGTTTTGAAAACAGCCATGGGATCACCCTCACATCATCAGGGCTGTGGGTGGGCAGCAGCTCCCCCTGCGCTGCCTGTACACCACCAGCACAGTCACAGTCACAAAAAGACTATTTTTTCTCTCTTGAAATACTGCACAAGTTGGGAGATGTGTACTCCAGGCTGCGGTGCCCAAAACCCCTCACCATTTGGAAGGGCAGCTGAGCGTGGGGGGGTCGGACTTGGCAATCTTCAGCAGGACTCTCATGGGGTTGAGCTCGTGATGGGGTGGCTCGATCTGGGCCATTTCAATCAGCGTGATTCCCAGGGACCAGATGTCCGCCTTGTAGTCATACGGAGTGTCCTTCATGGTCTCGCACATCACCACCTCGGGGGCCATCCTGCAAGGGGCAGAGCAAGGAGCAGGGATGGTGAGGGATGACACCCCTGCCACACATGTGAGCCTTGCAGCAGCAATTAAATGCTTTAAACAATCCACACCATTGCACCCATTTTCCCTCCCAGCCTTGGGGTTTCAGAAGCAGCAGCATCATTTCTAAGGGGTCCAACCCCCTTCCTTCTTCCACAGACCAGCCGAGACAGCCCAGACAGCCCATGGAAACCCCCAGGCCATTGACATCTGGCACGGATGTTGCTTCAGACAATAAATTAATCCTCGCCAATTCCATTCCTTCAGCAAGTCGGGTGATTTAGAGATTGCATTTCTGGAGCGAGGAGTCGTTCCCATGTGCTTGGAGCCGCTTCAAAGCCCACTCCACCCCCCAGGGTGGGGGGAGCGGTGAGTGCACACACGCGAGCACATGTGTGTCCCTCACTCCTCCAAGCATGGAGCATGGTGGCCCCTCAGCCAGCTCAGGGCACCGTGACACCGGGCAATGGTCCCACATAGCCAAGGCTGCTCATAGCTCCCTACAGGCACGGGAAACCCTTGCACGTGTGAACACTGGCCCAGACTCCTTGTTAAAATCATCCCACCCGTGCTCGGTGAGGCACCGTGGTCCAACACATCCCAAAGGCCACCAGCTCCCAATTTCTCTGCAAGCCTGATTTTCAGAAGAGCGATGCTCCTCACGAACGCAGGATTTCTTAGCAAGCAGGTCACTCACCAGTAAGGGGTCCCAATGAAGGAGTCTCGCTTTTGCAAGGTTTTCATGTTTTTGGCAGACACTCCAAAGTCAGCTGCAAAGAGCAGTAACATTAGATGCTGTAGGAAAACTGAACGACCCTTCTCAATTAGCACACTTGGCTGAAACGCAGATTTAAAAGCAAACACACATTTAAGGCAAGAACATGATACAATGTGCTGTTTCCTCTAAACTGAGCATCAGAAATTAAATTTGCTTTTGGGTACGCAACCACCAGGGACCTTCCCCCCCCATGTACTGTAAAACAGGGCATAACAAGCCACCCCTACTGTAATCCAAACCCTACGCATCTAGACCGAAGCCAAGATCTTTTCCACAAACAAACAAAAGCAGCTCTGTGGCAGATTACTTTCAGGACTGCTATTTCACAGCAAAAAGTCTCATTTTACACCAGAAAAACCAAAGTGCTGTTGCATTCTTTCTCTTTCCTTCAGCCCCACGCACAGCAGCCACTGTGTGATGCCTTTCCCTGATTGTGTGCCTCCTATAGAGAGCTGCTGAAGCCAACCCAACCTGGTAAGACCTGCAGAAGGTACCAAGCCCACTAAAGGTCAGTTTACTCTCCAAAGGTGGCCCTGATAACCTCTGGAAGAGCTGTTATCCATTTGCACTTCAGGCTCAGGGTATCCCTGACTATGGGTTGCCCTTGGCCCAAGTCAGCAGAGTATTTCTTATGCCAGAGCAGAGCCCATGGTCACAGGAAAGCTTCCATCTTCCCAGGCTTGCTGGTCTCCATCATCCCAAGAACAGCCCATGGCTGCCAGCACCCCTCATCAGGGTCTAGAACGAAATCACCTTTCTGATGAGACCCCACAGACAAAGCTACCTTCTCATCCCCCCACAGGCAGGTGGACGCCAATTTAACTCAAGCCCACAGCGAGCTGGCAAAGCAACCCTTTGGCAAAACCCACCCTGTCACCACCAGACCTGCTCTGGAGATAAGATGAATTCTTCCAGCTCCCAGCCCTGCCAACTGGCACCCTGCACAGGATGCTCAGCAGGCCAAAACCCATAAAAATCGAGTTCAAAGAGGGATTAAATAAATTCACGAAAACCCATCAGGCGTCTGAGCACGGCTGCAGCTCGGGGAGTCCCGGTGCCCAGCTGGGGGCTAAGCACAGCACACAGCTCCATGGTAGACCTGGCCTCCCACAAAAGTTTTCCCCCCACCTTCTCCCACCTGAGCTCATCAGCCAGCAGACAAGGAGCTGATGTCCCGCAGGCATGGCAGAAGGCAGAGAGCATCCCCCATATCCCACCCCATGCTCAGGCACAGCCGAACACCATATTCCAGCTCCCAGCAGCACATGGCGGTCGTTGGCGTAGTGAGATGGTGCCAAGCAGCGCCATCGCCCATGGCTGCTCTCCCAACGAGCCTGGCCAAGCGAAGAGCCTGCCACGCTCCTGTGTGGCTCACCGAGCTTGATGTCTCCATCCTGGGTGAGGAGCACGTTGCCTGCCTTCAGGTCCCGGTGGATGATCTTTTTGCTGTGGAGGTAATGGAGGGCTTCCAACATCTGGCGGCAAATCACTTGAATCTGGGGTTCGGTCAGGCCCCGGTCCAGCTCTGTGGGGAGGGAGAAAGCCTTTAAACAGGACAGGGATTTGAGCGATGCTCCACCTGAGCCGCAGGAAGTCACGGGCTGCCCAGCAGACCGTTTAAAAACCACTGTCCATGTGTCAAAGCAGTGGGAGACGAATGCAAATGGGCTTGTTAAGGTAATTTATTCCCTAGGCCAGCACTCGTAGCGCAATGCCTGCCTGCTTGAAGCTGCGGGTTTATAGGTCCCTCCGGGGGATGCACGGCTGAGGAGCCTGGACCAGGAATAGGGCATGAGGAGGACGAGGAGGGGGACCCAGGCATAGCCCGAGAAGGGGGTCTGAACTGCAAATTCCCTGCCAATTTGGGAAATGGGCCCCTGCCGTCAAGCTGGGTCTGGCCCAGTGTGCGGATGCTGCTGCAGAGAGGATGAGCTGAACTGGGCTGCAGGCAGCAGCAGGGTCAAACACAGGCTCAGCAGCTCCATACACAGCCAGGCTCCCATCCCCAGGGATCCCTGCCACGGAGACACAGCGTACACCCCTGTCCATCATGATGGACACACCACTTCCCAAAGCAACAGGCAACCCACTGCTCTGAGCTGGTTTTTCAGGTAGCACCAGGTACCAGCACACCAGTTCATGCCCCGCTCTCTGTCCCTATTTCTGAAGTTTGTGGGGGGACACACTGGTGTGACCTCCCTGCTGAGCTCTGCCTGGCTGCCTTCACCATCCGAGACTGCTTTCTAAGGTGATGGCTCTGCAAACCATCAAACTTCCAGATGGTTAGCATCGCCCGAGCTTCCCTCCCTCCCTCCCTCCCTCTGCGAGCCCCTTGCAGCGCAGATCCCTCCTCCGGCAGGGCTGGGCGTGCAGCAGAGCAGACCAAGCCTCGGACAACTCCAACTGCCCAAACTGCAAGGCCAGGATGGGGGCTGGTGGTCAGACCCCCACCACAGGGACAGATGCTCGTTCAGAACGAAGCTCTTAACCAAAGGCTGGGGGATGCTGGGTCACTCACTTTGTTCCTCCTTTCCCTGACCAAGATCTCTCTTGCTCTGGGGGGAGCTGATGATTTTCATTCTCCCCAGAGCAGCTGGCAAAAGCGAGGTGTAACAGGCCACAGGTTTCATACAAAAGATTTCAAAGGCAAATGCCAGTCCCTGGTGGGGACGGGGAGGTGGGACAGGAAGCACTCAGCAACTCTGAATCTACTAATGCCAGGAGCAGTCCTGAGCTCCAACTCACAGCCCCTCATTTGGGGGTGATGGCACTACCACACCAAGACACTTCCTCATGGTTTTCTGTGCTCCCATGTCCTCCAGAGACAGACTGCCAGGGACACGGCCCCACAAATGCTCAGGGGGATTTTTGTGTCTCAAAGAGACACAAAACCTGTTGAGGTTTTCCAGGGGGAAGGCATCATTTCCTCCAGCCTTTCAGAAAAGGTACTTTTTCATGCAGTGAAATGCAGTGATTCGGACCCACTTTTCCCTAAAGGAGGCACAAGTTCTAGGGGCTAAATTAAAGATGATGAATTTGGGTCCATACTTTCCCTGGAAACAAAAAGAAAGTGAGGCCTTTGGAAATATCAGAGCTGAAAGGATGTAACCCCTGGGAGACACAGCTCTGTCCCCGGGGATCCGGGCAAGAAGACGTCAGAGCTCCGTGTTTGTCACATGGAGAGGATGTCACCCCCCTTGGGGTCCGTACAGCCCCTGCACAGAGGGGCTGTGGCACCAGGCAGGGCTGTTTTTGGGGAACACCCACACCCTCCCTGTCCCAGCGGCTTTACATGGAAGGGAGGAGTTAAAAATTGGAAGATTCCTGGAATTACTGCAAACTGCAGTTTATTCGGACGCTCTACTGCTTCAGCAGATGACCGATACCATACGGAGAAGTCAGCAAGAAGATCCTGGGAGATTCATCATGAGAGACGCCCAGATTAAACATCTCAGCCCCGCTGCTCTCCCCGGGAAGCTGTGGGAACAGGATCCCAACCACTCGGTGCCCCTGGCAAATAAATATTTAAAGCCATCTTTCCCCTCCAGCCAGACTCTCCCTTCTCCCTATGCCTTGTGATCTGCTGATCCCAGCATTTAAATCACAAAAGGACATCAAAGTAGCTCAAGAAACGCCCCGGGGCCACCACACCTTCTGCTCCGGGTATGAAAATAGGCAAACTCATGGGAGAGAAAGGGTGGCTGGAGAAGCTGGGGAACCCACACCTGCCGTCTGTCCATAGGTTGCCCCTGAAAGCATGCCAGAGGCTGGAAACCCCTTGTGGGCATCGCCCCGAGCACGGAGAAGAGCCCGGCACCGCACGCTGCACTCACCCAGCATGGTGGCATCCACCGCCCCGCCTGGGCAGAACTCAATCATGATCTGGGGAAACAAAGAGAGAGGAATTAAACTCAGGTCTGTGTCTGACTGAGCTAAGCCCACTGGCTAGAGAAAAGGAAGACAAAAGCGTTGGGTTTTGCTTCCCCACGTGGAAAAGCTGCCCCTTTTGTCCCCACACAGGAATGCAGAGGCTTCGGTGCTCCTCAGGACACATCCCCTGGGCATCCCCAGCACCATCACCCAAGCCCTGGGGCCAGATCCTGCACACAGCCCACAGCAGCCATCTGGGAGGGACCGTCCCCATCGCTGTGACACCCCCAGCAGTGGTGCCTGGTCCCGTACCTGGACGCCCACCCCAAGCAGCCAGCTTCAGCTCCGGGTTCCTCTCTGTTTACATCTCTTCCCATTGCATTTTGGAGCTCCAGAGAGCGGCCTTGCCAACAGGATGAGATAGCTGTCATAGCTGGGAGCTGACGTGGCCGGGAGAAATCAGGCAGGATTTTATTTGCCAAATGAGAGATGGGGAGGGCTGTTAATCATGATCTGGGGAAACAAAGAGAGAGGAATTAAACTCAGGTCTGTGTCTGACTGAGCTAAGCCCACTGGCTAGAGAAAAGGAAGACAAAAGCGTTGGGTTTTGCTTCCCCACGTGGAAAAGCTGCCCCTTTTGTCCCCACACAGGAATGCAGAGGCTTCGGTGCTCCTCAGGACACATCCCCTGGGCATCCCCAGCACCATCACCCAAGCCCTGGGGCCAGATCCTGCACACAGCCCACAGCAGCCATCTGGGAGGGACCGTCCCCATCGCTGTGACACCCCCAGCAGTGGTGCCTGGTCCCGTACCTGGACGCCCACCCCAAGCAGCCAGCTTCAGCTCCGGGTTCCTCTCTGTTTACATCTCTTCCCATTGCATTTTGGAGCTCCAGAGAGCGGCCTTGCCAACAGGATGAGATAGCTGTCATAGCTGGGAGCTGACGTGGCCGGGAGAAATCAGGCAGGATTTTATTTGCCAAATGAGAGATGGGGAGGGCTGTTGGGTCTTCAATTTTTTATATTTTTTTTCCACTTTTTTTTTTTTTTCCTCTTTTCTGCCCCCACTGCTCAGTAGTTCATTGCTCTCTTGATTTTGAGCAACTTGAGGAGAAAATATGTCAATAAAGAGGTCGAGTACATTCACCAGATTGCTGCTGTTTCTCTCCCAGGGACGTGCACAGGGTCCTGCCCGGCCCCCGCTGCCCCCCCAATGCTCCTGCAGGGTGGGCAGCACCCACCAGGTGGGCCCTTCCCCAGCATCCCAGGGATGCAGGTCCTCATCCCCCTCACCTCTGCACAAACTCGGCCAGAGCCTTTCCCAGGGCAGGGGGAGCTCAGTGCCACCCCCAGCTCCCCTTGGGGGCAGAGGAGGCTGCTCAGATAAACAGATTAAAGTTTCAAGCAGGGGTTACAGGGGACAAGAGGTGCCTCACCTCCCCGACAAGCTCTTCTTCTCCTTGTTGAGGCGACACAGGGCAACATACCGGAGAGGTGAAATGCCAGAGTTTATTTTGAGGACAAGGACCGAGCTAGCTGAAGGCGGTGTTTACCAGCACAGCTCTCTAAGTCCTTCAAGTGGAGGTCATGCTATTAAACGCTGCTCTAAGGACTGGACCAGGAGATGAGGGGAGAAGGTTCAAGCTCCCTCTTTCCCATGGCTTAATCCTGCAGCTCCAGGTGAGCCACACCCCACCCTTTTGTCCTGCAGTTCTATGCTTATCATCGCCCTGCACCATGGTGGGAGACACAACTGCTTTGTTCTGAAGGAGAAGGGGAGCAGGATCAGGTGCTGGGATGGAGCAAACCTTAAATTGCTCTGCGAGAATCGGCCCAGATCCAAGAGTCACAGAGGGAGACAATGCTGAGAAAAGGAACCCAGGCAGGTTGGGCAGCCCGACACAGGCACTGTCGGAGGAAGCAGAGAAAAATAACCAGAGGCCAGGCCTGGAGAGGCATTTGAAGCAGGCTGGGGAACAGGCAGATAGGGAACAGCAACTGGGAAGACTCAAACCGTTCACAAACCAAGAGCCGAGCAGGAGGCTGGAAGGGAAGAAGCTGGCGGGGCAGCACAGCCCTCACACAGATGGGCCATGTCAACACACCTTTTCTGGAGTTTATACCTTGAACCAGAGCATCAGCAAATGGAAAGGCAAGAATTGCCTACTGCTGCTGTGTCACCAGGCACTGAGATCCCCGCGGGATCCCCTGTGCCCCATCTCACCCCAACTCTAGGAGGCTCATTTCAACCAATTATCAACCAATAGTCTTCCTCATCACATTAACCAGAGCAAACTAACACCGCCATCAGACACCAGCCCTTCCTGGGCTCTGAAGAGCCCAAAATGCCAGAAGTGAACCCCAACACGAGCCCCACACCAACATCAGCCTGCCAACTGGGAATGCAAGGGCTTTCCCGATCCCATGTAAACCTGAGCATCGCAGCTTTACACCGTTCTGGCTAGAAGAAAACCTGCCTGTACGAACGAGCCTGTCTCATCACTGAACCAAGGCTCAGCTCTTGAATCTAAACAGTCCCAAAACTTCAAAAGCCCAGCCTGAATCAGCTGCTAATGTGGCCTTTGCCACCCAGGTGACCCTGGCTGCTGTCATCGCTAATGCTTAGCATCCAGCTTTACAGCCTCTGCCCCTGTGCAGCCCAACTAAATCAAGTCCCCCGGCATCTCACGCAGCTCCTCTTACACAGGAATGTAATTTCAATTCCAGGGAGCAAGAAACACAAAGGGCAGCCGGGTGGGTGACAGCTACAGCCACCCCGGTCAGCAGAACCCCCGGGAGCCCAACGTGATCCCCCCCTCCCCAGGCAGATGCTGCACTGGGGTGTCCTACCAGGGACACTGCCGAAACGTGCTCTGGTCACACACACTGAGCTTCTACACTGCACCCTACTCTGGATCCATGTGGGATGCATTTCATCTCACAAAGTTTCATTTGGGTTCACAGTCTAGCAATGAGAAAATTAGGGAAATCAGTCCATCTGAACCAGCACGACCATGTCTGTTTATGCAGGCACAGCAGGCTGCGAGCCAGGCACTGGGAATATGGGAAATATGGAAAACTTAAAAATATGCATTTTCAACAAGGGCAGAGATGCCAAAGAATAATTACGGGTGTGGCCAGATAGTCTGAACATCCAAAAACTTAATGGGCTTGTTTCAGCCCAGAAAACCAGATTTAAATAAACGCAACTGGCAATCCCATAGCTCATACACCACACACTTCCTTCCAGGAGCAGGGCCAGCCTGAAAAACGTTTTACCACTGAAGCAGGTAGGAAGGCAGACCCGGTGGCAGCAACACATGGCTGTCCCCGTGCGTGGGGGATGCGGGAAGCTGGGGGAGAGCAGAGGCTCTGCTGGTCCCATTCCCAGTCCCGCAGCAGGGAGGGGGACGGTCGGGCGGTCGCTGACACCCCAGGGTGGGCAGCCTGTCCCTCCGGCAGTGATGAGGAACAAGCTGGGAGGATCCTAGAAGGGGTCTGTTGACAAGAGCATGTGCCTCTGTGCAGCCAGGAGGCTGGTGATTCACCCAGAGGCTGCAAAAGAGCTTAACTCTTTGCTTTGGACTGTTTCCGTGTGCTTGGATACACAGGCTGTCCCAAGCCACAGCTGGAGCTGGAACCACGCTGGTGACAGTGCCAGTCTCCACGCTGCGTGTCACCTCTCAACACCTCTGTGCTCAGCCAGCCCCAGCAATCCCCCCGCCACATGCAGGACCTGGGACCCTGCACGGGGCTCGCTGCGGAGCTGGAGCAGCACCCCAAAACAAAGGTTTCACACACCTCATCCCAAAAAAGCTCCCGTGGACTCCTAAGACAGAGACACGAGACCTGGCCAGGGAGGGGGGGTGTCTCTGCCCCAGTGCTGACAGTCTGAAAGCAGTCCTTCACACTGATTAGAGTTGGGGGGAGCACCCACACCTCCTCCTCCTCCTCCTGCCTGGTGTCTGGGCGAGGGGGGTCCAAGCTCCCGTTACAGGGTTTGTGGTGAGCAGCCTGGAACGGGGCTGGAGCAAACATCCTGTTTATAACCATTTCCTCCGCACAAGAAACCCAGGGACTTCCTCGCCGAAGGCTCCCGGGGCGGGGGGGAGGCACAAAGCAGCAACAGGAGCTCTCCCTCCCGCTGCCACCTCAAAGCTGTTAGAAATCCTGGGGATTTAGCACTATTGGCATTTTCGTTTTCTGTCTACAGGCAGCTGCAAAACTCCCTGTTAGCTCCCATCCCGGAGCTGTCTGAGCAGCACGAGGGGCTGACGGCTGCCTTCCAGCAGGACCAAAGCCCCACAGACTGGAGGTTCAACACCATGGCCAAGAAAGCCAGGCACCGCGCTGGGCTGGCTGGACGGGGACACACGAGCTGCACGCACAGACACAGATTTGGGCAGCTGGTTTAGAGAGAGAGAAAAAGGGACCCGCTCTCGCTGCCTCCCAAACCCTTGCACTACAGTTAGAGCATTGCTGTTTAAAAAAAAAAAAAAAAAAAAAAAAAAGCGCCCTTTTCTCCTACACTTTTCATGAAACAGCATGAATGAAGAGGCCCGCATGCAGAAGCCACATCATCTTTCAAGAAACTTTTCCACAGGCAAAATTAAATTGAAACTTAGATTTGAAAGCAAAAGTCCACTCAAGTTAAAGGGCTCTGTCAGTGACCTTGATTTTTCCCATGGCTCGTCCTAATCCTGCCTTCAGGCACAGCAGGACCTGAAAGCATTTTGTAGCCCAAGTGGGAGCAAGGCGGCCTGGGGCGGGGGGGGGGGGGGGGGGTGCCTTTTGTTTGCGGGTGGTGTGGAGCGAGAGGGGGGGGAGGGGGGCGGGGGGGGGGGGGGGGGTTGGGGCCATTTTCTGGGCTGCTGGAGTAATAAGTGACTGCCTGGGAGGAGAGGAAGCAGGGTCCAGTGAGCCTGGGGTTGCCCAGGAGAATAAATATACATACGTATGTATAAAACAGCTACGGCTTAAATTAAGTGCTCTTAAAGACACAGGCCTTCAAG